CTCTGTGAGTTCGAGGCCAGCCTGGGCTACCAAGTGAGCTCCAGGAAAGGCGCAAAGCTACACAGAGAAACCCTGTCTTGAAAAACAAACAAACAAACAAAAAAAAAGATGCATGGAGTTAGGTCTCTGTATGCTTCAACAATTGATACTTTGAAAATTAAATGAATGGATTATCAGCTTAGCTGGGATTGACATAATGTCGATTATAACCATTATCAGTTTGGTTATTTCACGTTCTATCCTTTAAAAAGTGGTTTGATATCGATGCCAAATACAAAAATATATATATATATAAGATGAAATCTTTAGAAAGACCTACTAATGAAACACAGACAGAGGAGATGAGAGCAGAACCTACCACACCATTGCATTATGAAACCGAAGAGTAGCAGCCCAAGGTTATCAGAAAACCAACCTTAATTTATCCAGTTATCATACAAGAACAACCACCAGATGATAGACACCCCCAAGGCTATGCAGAACTTAACTGGAATCCTGGAGAAATGTTAGATTTGAAGAGATTTAAGGAAGCAGTAGTTTCATATGGTATGCATTTACCCTTTGTGAAGTAGATGTTAAATTAATGTTAAATTCATGAGAAACTCAGAACAGAATTATTCCACAAGACTGAAAAGATTTAGCTACAGCAGTATTGGAAGCTGGTCCTCAGTTATAATGGAAAACATGGTGGAGAGAGGAAGCTAGGGTCAGAGAACCATGAAGTAGGGCTAGAGGTACGGAAATTTCCCAAGAACAGCTTCTCAGTGAAGGTGAGTATGCCGATTTGCAAAGACAAATTACATGAGATGATCACACCTTGGCTCTGTGCCATACAGCAGCTTTGAATGCTTGGGTCAGGGTTGAAGAATTAGGAAAGAGGACTGAGTCATTTACTAAAATGATACAAGACCCAAAACAAGCCTTCACTGATTTTTTTTAATAAAGATTGACTTCAGCTGCAAGTAGAATGATATCAGATCCAGAATATAGACAAATATTAATTGAATCTTTGGCTTTTGAAAATGCTAATTCAGAATGCAAAAGGAGGATCAGGCCTTTAAAGGGAAGAAAAACATCCATAGATGAATGGATTAGAAATACAGCTGATATTGGATCTCACACTTATGATACTTGGATAAAAGAAATGATTCCTAAAAATTTTAAGAAAAATCAAAAGGTTAGATGTTTTAATTGTGGCAAACCAGGTCATCTGAAAAGGGATGTAGGCAAGGCATTCCTAGAAGCAATGTTTTTTTCTAGAGATAATCCAAACAGAAGGCCCCAGAATATGTAGAAGGTATGGCAAAGGCTGGCATTGGACTAATGAATGCAGATCAACACGGGACAGGCAAGATAACCCTTTGCTATTAGGAATGCCTTAGGGGGCCTCTTGCTGGCTCCCACATCAAATTTGGTTCAACTGTTCCCTGTCAGCACTGGGGAAACTCCTCCACAGAGGAATTCAAAGACTTAATGCCTGTTGTGAAAAACCATACTGCTCTGGATGACAGAACAGCTTCAGTAGATAAAACAAAAATTTCAGGATAGACCATAAAACAGCAATTTTAGCGAACTTTTATAAATGATCAAAGAGCAAAGCTAAAAATACAAATAAATGCCATTGTGGTTGAAGGTTTACTAGATATAGGTGCAGGTGTAAGAATACTTTCACCAAAATCTTGGCATCCAGATTCAGGAGGTAAATATTCAGCTTCTAGGGACTGGAACTTTATCTCAGATAAAAACAGTGCAAGATGGGTTGAGTATATAGGGCCAGAAGGACAGGTAGGAAAATTAAAGCCATAAGATAGCAATGAATTTATGGGGACATGATTTATTACAACAATGGAAAACACAGATTAACATTCCTCCAATCTCAGAAACAAATCATAAACTAATGTACACTTCTGAGGGAAATATTAAAAGGTATTATCAAGAACAGTCACTGACCATTCAGGTTGTACATAAGCAGGGCACAACAGCTGTTGGTCTTTCAAAGGTACCAACAGTCCTACCTTTAAAATGGTTAACTGACGAATGTAGGTAGGTAGAATAATGACCTATGACATCAGAAAAATTACAGGCACTGGAACAGCTGATACAGGAGCAGCTAAATTCTCAACATATTAAAGAATCAACCAGACCTTGGAATTCTCCTGTATTTGTCATTAAAAAGAAATCTGGAAAAGGGAAAATGGTAACAGATCTAAGAGCTATTCATAAGGTGATCCAGCCAATGGGTTTTTTACAACCATGGAATTCCCTTGCCTTCTCTATTACCTAAATGATGGTCTATTATAATGATTGATTTAAACAAACTGCTTTCTTACTATGTAGTAGGACAGGCCCATAGGGTAAAGGAAATTGGCTCAAACCAGTTGCTAAGGCATGAACATAACATACTTCCTTATAGCCAACCTGGAGTCTGCCTGAGGGCCTAGCAACAGGTGCTGTCAGAGTTCCTGGCCACTGTCAGAGTTCCAGATGGTGCTCAGCCACTGAGGAGGGATGACCACAAAATGCCACCAGATTGGGACACAGCTTGGGTGCTGGGAGGAGGGTATATAAGGCCTTCCCCATTGTTGAATAAACAAGTTTGCTGTTTGCCTTCAACTGACTCCTGGTGTCTGTGTTGTTGACACTACACCCTCTCCTCCAAGGGAACCATTAGTATCCAGCAACATTACTATACCTTTACAAGAACAGGATAGAGAAAAATTTGCCTTCCCAGCCTCTTAAAAGGGATCAGTGGAAAGTTCTTCCACAAGGATTGTTAAACAGTCCCACCTTGTGTAAATATTTTGTTCAACAGCCACTAGAAATAATTAATAAACAGTTTCCTCAACCTATAATTTACCATTATATGGATGATATCTTACTAAGCTGATTCAGACTCAAATACCTTAAAAAAATGTTTGAAGAGGTAAAGAAAATTTTGCCTTGTTGGAGATTACAAATTGCCCCTGAAAAAATACAAAGAGATTCTATTAATTACCCAGGATATAAGATAGATTTACAAAAATTCCAACCACAGAAAGTACAAATCAGGAGAGATCAATTACAAACTTTTAATGATTTTCAAAAATTGCTGGGAGATAGCAACTGACTACGGCACACAATTGGATTGACAACTCAAGAGTTAAGTAATTTATTTTAAACTTTACCAAGCGATAAGGATTTAAATAGTCTAAGAAAAATTATCAGCTGAGACTGAGAGAAAATTGGCTTTAGTAAAAGAGAAATTAAAGGGTGCACATGTGAATTGTTTGGATCCAGAGTTTGATTGTATCCTGGTCATACTACTTTCTACTTATTCTTCTACAGGAACTCTTATACAGAGAGAAGATAATATCTTAGAATGGATAATTTTACCACACAAGCTGAGTAAAACATTAAAGGCCTATGTAGAAAAGGTTTCTGAATTGATTCTGAAAGGAAAACTGAGACTTTGTCAATTATCAGGAATAGACCCAACCAAAACTGTGGTACCTTTTGCTAATGATGAAATTGCATCATTATGGGCAGAAAATGAATATTGGCAAAGAGCTTGCAATAATTTCTTGGGAGAGATTAGCAACAGAAATCCCAAAAGCAAGAGACTTCAGTTTGTGGAAAGAATTAAATTGGATTCTTCCCCACATTGTATGGGAAAAACCTATTTCTGGACCCCCTACATTTTATACTCATGAAGATAAATCAGGAAAAGCAGGTTATGAGTCAGTAAATTTAAGTAAAACAGCTCAAAACCCTTATAGTTCTGTTCAAAAGTCAGAATTATATACTATTCTCATGGTATTATTAGATTTTCCCAAGAAAATTTTCATAAGAAACATGTTAACAGTAAAGGTTTGAAGAAAGATTTTTCTATCACTTGGCAACAAGCCAAGGTAATTATAAGGAAATGTCCTACTTGTACTTTGTATAAACAAACTCCTTTATCTGTAGGAAGTAACCCAAAGAGTACTCAAAGAAATGACATTTGGCAAATGGATATGTTTCATTTTGCAGAGATTTGAAAATTAAAGTATGTGCACCATACCATAAATATATATTCAGTATTTCAATGGGCAACTGCTTGAGTTCTGAAAAGGCTGATTCTGTAATCACACATTTATAGAAGTTATGGCCATTATGGGGCTATCTATACAAATTAAGACTGACAATACTCCAGCATATGCCTCTAGCAAAATGAAACAGTTTTTTGCATTTTACATTTTCTGTGTATTACCATGTAAAGCATATTACAGGTATACCATACAATCCTACAAGACAAGCATTTATAGAAAGATATAATCGTACTTTAAAAGATATGCATGATAAACAGGAAGGGGTAATAGAGACCCCCAGAGACAGATTACACAATGCTTTATTACCTTTAAATTTTTTAAATGCTAATGAGAAAGGAACAACAGCTGCAGACAGACAATGGATAATAGGAAAAAAAAAAACCCTGCTAAATTAAATCAGCCTGCATACTTTAAGGATGTGTTGACCTCAGAATGGAAACCAGGAGATGTGTTACACTAGGGAAGAGGTTTTTGTTTTTGTTTCCTCAGGAGAAGAAAAGCTCTGGACACCATCAAAATTGATAAAGATCAGATTTGAACAGGAGAGACTTCTTGATTAGGAGAGGTGATAGTTCATCAAACAGTTGGCCTTTCAATCTAAACTAACTTATAAGACTAACAAAAATGCCTTTCATTTGATCAGGTGATGGAGTCAAGTGATGGAGCTGCAGTGGGAGATCCATGGAGGGTGATGGAGTCTGTGATGGAGCTGCAGTGGATACATGGAAGGTGATGGACTCTGTGATGGAACTGCATTGGGGACCCATGGAGGGTGATGGTGTCTGTGATGGAGCTGCAGTGGATACATGGAAGGTGATGGAGTCTGTGATAGAGCTGCAGTAGGAGATCCATGGAAGGTGATGGAGTTTGTGATGGAGCTGCAGTGGGGGGGTCCATGGGGCTGATTTGGAGTTGGGAAAATGTAAGCACCTGGCACGGTGACACTCAAGGATGAAGAGTTCAGGGGAAGCCAGGGCTCTACAGGGATCCTGCCTGGAAGAATTGAGGAGGGATGGAGTGAGGAAGAGAAAGAGGGAGAGAGGGAGGAAAGACTAGGGAAAAGAGGGGTGGAGGAGAGGGGGAAGAAAAAGAGGAGGTGGAGATAAGAAAGGAGATTCCAGCCAGTTAGTGACTCCACCCTTTAATTTCAGTACTTGGGAGGTGGAAGACATGGAATTCAAGGACCTCTTCAGCTACAGAGCAAGTTCAAAACCAACCTGGGCCACTTGAGACTGGTTCTAAGAAAGAAAGAAAGAGAGAGAGAGAAAGAGAGAAAGAGGGAGGGAGGGAAGGAAGGAAGAAAGAAAGAAAGAAAGAGAGAAAGAAAGAAAAAGAGAGAGAAAGAAAGAAAGAGAAAGAGGGAGGGAAGGAAGGAAGAAAGAAAAAGAGAGAGAAAGAAAGAAAGAGAAAGAGGGAGGGAAGGAAGGAAGGAAGAAAGAAAAAGAGAGAGAAAGAAAGAAAGAAAAAGAGAGAGAGAAAGAAAGAAAGGAAGGAAGGAAGGAAGGAAGGAAGGAAGGAAGAAAGAAAGAAAGAAAGAGAGAAAGAAAGAAAAAGAGAGAGAAAGAAAGAAAGAGAAAGAGGGAGGGAAGGAAGGAAGAAAGAAAAAGAGAGAGAAAGAAAGAAAGAAAAAGAGAGAGAAAGAAAGAAAGAAAGGAAGGAAGGAAGGAAGGAAGGAAGGAAGAAAGAAAGAATGGAAGGAAGGAAGGAAGAAAGAAAGAAAGAAAGAAAGAAAGAAAGAAAGAAAGAAAGAAAGAAAGAAAGAAAGAAAGAAAGAAAGAAAGAAAAAGAAAAAGGGTGGTGGTGTGGACATGGCTCAATGGTTAAGAGCATCTCCTGTCCTTCCTTCCAGAGGACCCAGGTTCATCAACCACCTGTGATTCCAGCTCAGAGGATCCAACACCCTCTTCTGGCTTCCATGAGCACTGACACATAAGTAAAATAATCAAATAAATCTTTATTTAAAAATGTGTGTGTGTGTGTGTGTGTGTGTGTGTGTGTGTGTGTGTGTGTTTTCCCGGCCTGCACCACCACATCCCGCTCAAATCTAGCTTTCATCAGCAAGTAGAAGAATGAACTTGCGCATTCTTTCAATTCACTCCCCTCCCGACCCTTCCTAAATTGGGAAAGGCGCAGGGCAGATGGACACTCTCTCAAGCCAAAGGACCGGAAGGACATTTTAGCAGTTTTTCAAGCAGTCTCATTGTGCCCGTGATTATTTTAGAAATCAACTCCTTAAGCAACCGCTCCATGCCTCGCTCACCCCCACTAACACACTAGACCGTGATGTTTGGTTCTTCCGAGCCACCCTTGGGAAACGGAGCCAAATGTAACTAAGTAGCAAAAAGTAACTAAGTTCTGCTTCCCAGCAGAGCACGGACCTGGCTCCTGCAGAAGGGGCTGCCTCATGGAGACAGGAGGGGAAAGGTAGTACCCTTCGTACAATCTGAGCATCTCTTTAGAAGGATTGGCAATAGAAATAAAGCCCAGAGTTTTGCACACCCTCTCTGAGCTACACCTTCAGCCCAGGAAGAATTTTTCTGATTCCTGAAGGACGTCATGTTTTAGTACTTCGGGTCTCTGCAGACCCTCCCGAGTGTTGCAAGCTGTATTTCTGGGTGTGGGCACAGGACGCAGCCCTGAGAGGTTGCAGAGCACAGTCTCCCCTCTCTGGCACTGCAGGGGAGTGTCCCAGGGGACTGGGAAGGCCGGGGCAGTCAGGCAAAGGTTAGGAAGGAAAAGAGTTAGGCAGAGGCCCAGAATGACTCCAGGAAATGTTTAGATTTCTCCACCAGGAGGGAGGGCAAACAAGCTTTTTTTTTTTTTTTCCCTCAAGCTTTCTGGGCAGCTCTGAGCACTCTGTAGCAGGCTGTGGGGACAAGACAAAAGCAGAAAAGAAAAATCATCCCCAGGGCTGGGTCCCGCCATTCCTCTGCAGCATGCATCCCATCCGGCCCCAGAGCTGCATCCCAGAAATGCGCACTTATGGAAAACGGCTTGCACCTCAGAGCCTGACCCAGCCGCAGTCTTCACCCCTGCCGGGGACACGGAGCTTGTGATCCAGGCTGCTGAGGAAGAGAAAGGACCTGCTCCAGGCTTTCATTTCCTGGCTGAAGTTTCTCTTGTGGGGGTTAGCGTCTGCATCCCAGGGCGATGAGGTTGGAGGCCCAGCCGCTGGGGGAGTGGTAGTGTTCAGATAGGCGTCTGCGCCTCTGTGCTGGCCACCTGAGGATACGCGTCCGCTCTCCGACTGCCATGGACAACGGGTCATGCTGTCTCATCGAGGGGGACCCCATCTCCCAGGTGATGCCGCCGCTACTCATCCTGGCCTTCGTGCTTGGTGCCCTGGGCAACGGGATAGCGCTGTGTGGTTTCTGCATTCATGTGAAGGCCTGGAAGCCAAGTACTATTTACCTTTTCAACTTGGCTGTGGCTGATTTTCTCCTCATGATCAGCCTGCCCTTACGGACAGACTATTACCTCAGACACAGACACTGGATTTTTGGGGATATTCCCTGTCGCCTGGTCCTCTTCATGCTGGCCATGAATAGGGCCGGGAGCATTGTCTTCCTCACGGTGGTGGCTGCCGACAGGTATTTCAAAGTGGTCCACCCCCACCATACGATGAACGCCATATCCAGTCGGACAGCGGCCGCCGCCGCCTGCGTGCTCTGGACCTTGGTCATCCTGGGGACTGTGTATCTTCTCATGGAGAGTCACCTGTGTGCCCAGGAGACGGGGCCGTCTTGTGAGAGCTTCATCATGGAGTCCGCCAACGGGTGGCATGACATCATGTTCCAGCTGGAGTTCTTCCTGCCGCTAGCCATCATCTTGTTTTGCTCCTTCCAAGTCGTCTGGAGCCTGAGACAGAGGCAGCAGCTGGCCGGACAGGCTCGAATAAAGAGGGCCACCCGGTTCATCATGGTGGTGGCTGCTGTGTTCATCACCTGTTACCTGCCCAGCGTGCTGGCCAGGCTCTACTTCCTCTGGACGGTGCCCTCCAGCGCCTGTGACCCCTCTGTCCACACAGCCCTCCACGTCACCCTCAGCTTCACCTACCTGAACAGCATGCTGGATCCTCTCGTCTATTATTTCTCAAGTCCCTCATACTCCAAATTCTATACCAAGCTCACAATCTGCGGTCTGGGACCCAAACGCCCAGGGCACTCGAAGACACAGAGGCCCGAAGAGATGCCAGTTTCCACCCTCTGTCGTAAGTGTTCCATCGATGGGGCAAACAGCTCCCCAAAGGCCATCAGACAGACAGTGGGGATCTCCAAGTGTGTTCAATGGCACTAAAGACAAACAGCCCAAGAGCCAGGCAGAAGGATGGGCAACTGTGAGTTAAATGGATGCAGGGGGGGGGGGGACTTCAACAATGTCACCACCCTGTCTCAGCTGTGTCTGTCTGTCCGTCACTCAGATGGAAATGAAATCCACATCATTCCACCTTTTCTAGAAGGTGCTTGAAGTGGGTTGGTTGTGTGCAAGAACTCTGATTGCTATGGTGAGGGGACGGTGTGTGTGTGTGTGTGTGTGTGTGTGTAGGAAAACGTGTGTTGGGTTAGGAACTGTTCAGAGCCTGGATCATTTTACTTGGCTGAGAAAATAGGTATGAGTGTTGCTGGGTCTTGTTCTTGCTCTGAGAGAGTTAATGAACTTGATAACTTGTCAGTATTTCCTGGACTGGAAGAAAAAAAAAGTAGAAACTGGACTAAGTCAATACACTTATTTCCAGCTGAGCAGACTCTTTACATCAGGATGCTTGGTTCTGGCCGGTTTTTCATCTCCCCTGGGAGTCACCAAAAATTTCCTTTTCAGTGTTTGGACTTCTAGGTAGCCTAGGAAGACAGCAAAAAGACTCTATTCCAACCTTCCAGCTCTGCATTTTTCTGATTTTAGGTGGTTTGGTTTTGCTTTGTTTGCATTTCAAAGATGCTGAGGGACATATCTAACTGCTCTAACTTCTCCAGAGGAAGCTGAGATCCTGGGCCCTGAAGCCAGGAGTCCTTATTGGGATGCACCAGTTCAAGCATGGTTGTTTCTGACTGCTTGTGTATGCGTTGAAATCATTTGCTGGGTGGTGGTGGTGGCGGCGGCGGCGGCGGTGGCGGCGGCGGCAGCAGCAGCAGCAGCAGCAGCGGCGCACGCCGATAATCCCAGCACTCAGGATGCAGAGGCAGGTGGATCTCTGTGAGTTTGAGGCCAGCCTGGTCTACAGAGCAAGATCCAGGACAGGCACACACACACATACACACACACACAACTAAACAGAGAAACCCTGTCTCAAAAAAAACCATCATTCATTCATTGATTAATTCATTCATTCTCAAGTCCTTATTGAATACATATTGCGTTGTTCAGCACCACCCTGCATCCTCATGTGTTTTGTCTTTGGTGCTGCTGGGCATTGGACTTGGGGCCTTCCATGAGCTAGGCACTTCCACAAAGCTCCATTCCCAACCCCTTGAGGCCTCTTTGAGCTGGAGCGCTGTTAGCCAATACTTAAAAAAAAAAAAAAAAAAAAAAAAAAAAAAAAAAAAAAA